TTTAATTTATAGAGTAAATTACACGAATGGTCCCTATGGTTTGGGGTAATTTGCGAGCTTGGTCCCTAACTTGTTTTTTTTAACTCGGAAGGTCCCTACTATTTGTTTTTGTTACACGCTTGGTCCCCACTATTTGTTTTTGTTACGCGTTTGGTCCCTATCTTAACTAAAATACTATTATTTAAATAGAGAAAAATAGTGGGTTATGTAAATAATGTGAGAGATGGGGTTGGAGGTGTGTTTATTTAAATAAATTAAAAAATCAATGAAAAAAAATAGTCTTTTTAAGTAAGACAGGGACCAAGCACGTAACAAAAGTAAATAGTAGGGATCTTCCGAGTTAAAAAAATAAGTTAGGGACCAAATGCGCAAATTACCCTAAACCATAGGGACCATTCGTGTAATTTACTCTAATTTATAATCAAAACTTCTAGGTAAGTTAAGTTTTTTGTTCTTCATCACTTTGTGGTGTGGTATATATAATATATATATATATATATATATATATATATATATATATATAATATATATATATATATATATATATTAATTTTCTTTTTTTATTTACTGTTTTTGACTTAATCACATTGAATGTATATGAGTGATTGGTTTTTTATATCCGGATAACACGTAATATAAATGTTTAGCTATTTTATTTTATAGTTTTTTTTATTTAATCACATTGAACGTGTATGAATGTTTGACTTTATTTTAATGTTAATATCGATTACCAATATATGAAGTTATTAATGTCATTTTTTTTAATGGTTTATATTTTTTATTAAATGTTTTTGATTTTGAATGCGACTATGTGTTATCTTATTCTGAGTATCAAAGATACTACATTTTATTATATTACTATATGCTAGGTTACAAATATTGGTGTCGATGACTTTTTGTATTATCTTTTAATTTTTTATGCTACTATACTTTCATCATTTATATTATTTTGAATATTATGGTTAACCAATATTAACCATTAACCAAAACCGTTAATCGACAAAAACCATTAATCATAACCAATATTAACCATACTCAATGGTTACCAAAATGCATTAACCAATCATAATGGTTATGGTTTGGTTTCGACCAATAACCGAACCAAACCGTCACATATACACCCCTAGTTTTGCTTTTGCTTGACCCTTGGGTGGTACCACATGCGATCATTATTATTTTTTGTTGCGTTGCCGATTCTGAATAAACGATAAATATACAAGCAATTATTAAAAAGTAGTGTATCTTAGAAAAGTATTTAACTAAAATATGTCCAAAGTTTACAATCTTAATTTGGAATGAAACTATAAAATAGTTATTGTTTAGGGTAAATTACACCGTTGGTCCCTCGTGCACATGCCAGAAAGCATGTTTAGTCCCTATTTCCAAAATTTAACTCGTGCAGTCCCTCGTTGTTATTTATCTTGCACGATTAGTCCCTATGCACGTTAACTGTTAAATTCTTCCGTTTAAGCTACCCACGTGCCTTGCACGCAGGGGCATTTTCGTCTTTTCAGGGTTTGTATACATGAACCAGTATGGCGCGACTTCGATAACCGATCATTTCTCATTTCATCCTCCGTCGACCCTTAGCATTGCACGAGAAAACCCTAGTTTTCTACGATGGTGAACTGGAGGATTAGGCAAGAATGGGAGGAATACGACCTCCAAAGCTCATACGGTAAAATTTTCTACATTTTCAGTTGATCATCCATTATACGTTCCTAAAACGTAATTTTTTTTTGGGTTCGCAGCTGACAATCCATGTATGTTCTCGATACGATTGAACTATGGTGGAGTTTTTACGAAGTTTCCAGGCCGCAAATACATAAAGGGGAAGATGAAATATATTGATGGCATTGATAGTGACTTGTTCTCGGTGCATGATATGGACGAGATAATGGAATTGCTTGATTGTGTGGAACCAGGTAAAAGTATTTATTATCATTTCAAACGACCAACCTGGGATTTAGATTTTGGGTTGTATGCTTTGGGTTGTGACGAAGATATAAACCACTTTAGGTCATACGTGTATGAACACAAGGTGATAGAAGTGTATACAGAGTTTTGGGAAACCAAGCTGCATACGTATCAAATGTCCCCAAACCCTGCAAAGATAAAGATACACGAAATTCCTGAGTCCCTTTGTCGTAAAAGCTTGTTATTGACATGGTCAAATTCAGGGGATTGTCCTAGTGAAGAAGCCCCTGTTTTTGAGAATGTAGAAACTATGGACGAACCCCCTAGTACATTACTTGAAACAACCTTGGAACAACCCCTTGTTACATTGAGTGAAACAGTTGAGTCAACCCCTGCCTATATACCAAGAATTGAAAGCCCTTTGACTGAACCAATGATAGGAAGCACATGTCCTAATGTTGATGGTTGGGATGATACATTTGAATGGTGTGAACCTTTTGGTGGGACTCCTATGGAACAAGATGAACCAAATAGTGAAAAAGCAGGTGAAGACAGTCAAGCTAGTAAAGACAGTCATGATAGTGATGACACTGAAGATAGTGAATACAGTCAAGATAGTGATTACATAGTTGATGAAGATAATTTGTTAGATGATCCAGAGGTTGATATGAAGAACTTTCACCTCAACATTGACAAAGAGGTGGAGTGGGTTGGAAGTTTTCCTGATGATCGAGATGAAGCAGTAGAAGGTGATGAAGAATTAGAGGTTATAAACACTGAAGAATTTGTATCTGCATCTTCATCAGATGAGGGTGAAGCTAGTAAAAAAAGGAAGAAGATAAGAGATTTACGAAGAGCACATAAGAATGAAGCAGCTGCTGTCAAAGATCCATTTTACATCCACCAGACTTTTAGCACAGCCAAGGAAGTTAAACAACAAATTTATCTTCATTCCATACAGAGTAGAAGGGAGTTAGACTTCGTCAAGAATGACAAAAATAGGATTAGAGTGGTTTGCAAAGGGACAATACCAAACCTTGGGATATTAGAAACAGGTGGGACCAGCAAAAGTAATGACAAAGTGGGACCAAGTCAAAAGAAAAAGAAAGTGAAAGATGGTTCTATTCATAAATGCCCATGGGTCCTACTAGTGAGTAAGTGGAAAAAAGACATTAACTGGACTGTTAAGACCTATGAAAAGCAACATACGTGCCTTCAAACAAGGAAAATTAGGGCATGTAACTACAAGTTTCTCTCTGAACAGATTGTTGACACAGTGGAGGCAAACCCAGAAATACCACTTAGAGCATTACGTGAGATGCTTGAGAAGAAATACCAACTTGGATTGTCAGACATGAAAGTTCATAGGGCGAAAACGAAAGCCCTGGAATCAATTAGGGGAGATTTTGCTGCTCAGTACTCATGTCTAAGAGACTACTTACAGGAGGTGCAGAGTAGAAATCCAAACACCACAGTCAAACTTCAAGTGCAAAGTGAACCATGTTATGCATCTGAGACCAGGGTATTTGAACGAGTATACATTTGTCTTGGTCCACTGAAAAGTGGATTTGCAGCAGGGAAAAGAGATTTACTAGGGCTTGATGGTGCATTCATGAAGGGTCCATACCATGGTATGATCCTGACAGCAGTGGTATGTGCATAATCATATTTTAGTATTTGATTAATGTTTGACCATAGTTAATTGTTTGCTTATTACTGTGTTTGACATGATAATTCAGGGTTTAGATGGGAACAATTGCACATACCCTTTGGCATATGCAGTTGTTGAAGCAGAGAACTTTAATTCATGGACCTGGTTTTTAACTAACTTAGGAGATGATCTTGGTTTGTATGCAAACTCCAACTTCACTTTCATATCAGATAGACAGAAGGTAAATAAAGTTCTCCATTCATTTTCACATGCATGTTTTACAATTCAATAAGCAACTTCACTCTTTTGATGATTTAGGGGTTATTGCCTGCACTTGAGAAACTTTTCCCAGCAGCAGAGCATAGATATTGCCTAAGGCATCTTCATGAGAACATGAAACGTAAATGGAGGGGCAAGGAATTCAAGGATTGTCTTTGGAAATGTGCAACATGTACCACCATACCACAATTCAACAGTGCCATGGAAGAACTAAAGAAACTTAACAGTGAAGCATATGACTGGCTTAATTCTATTCCACCTAAGCACTGGTCCAGATCCCACTTCTCAGGTATATAATATTATGTTTATAAGTGTATAATTTTTAAATATAATCTAATACAGTTGTGTTTTATTAGGGAGGGCACATTGTGATGCTTTGTTGAATAATATGTGTGAGAGTTTGAATAGCAAGATAGTGAAGGGTCGTGATAAGCCAATTATCAGTTGCTTGGAGTTTATTAGGGAGTATATCATGAGGAAAATTGTCATGGTTCAAAAAGAAATTGATAAAGCTAATGGCCCATTAACTCCTACAGCCACTAAGACCCTTGAAAAAATTAAAGAAAGGGCAGTACAGTGTAGGGCAGTGTTCTGTGGCAATGGGAAGTACCAGGTTACAAGTGAAGGTACTAATCAGTATGTGGTTAATATGGACCAACAAACTTGTTCATGTAATAGGTGGGAACTGACAGGCATACCCTGCAAACATAGTATAGCAGCTATATGGGATATGAGGCTCAACAATGAAAATGTTGGAATACCTGAGACATGGGTACACCCAACTTATTGGCTCAAGACTTGGAAAGAAATGTATGTCTTCAAAGTTGAACCTATTAATGGGAGGTTATTGTGGGAAAAAAGCACATGTCCTACCAAGTTGATACCACCAAAGTATCGTGTCCCTATTGGCAGACCAAAAAAAAAGAGAAGAAGATCTGCAACAGAAGATGATGGAGTGTCCACAAAATGGAAATCTGTAACATGCACAAAATGTGGAAATGTGGGCCATAATGGAAGGACCTGCAAGGGACAATCACAGACTGGGAATGGAACAGGAGAAGGTGCAGCAGGGAATACAACAGGAGAAGGTGCAGCAGGTAGCAGTGGTGGTGTACAAAATGGAGTTGGGAACAAAGGAAAAAGCCCCATGCTTTGAGAATTTGTAGTTTGGTATCATGATCATGAAGGATAACTATGTTTTTGTTAGGCATTTATTGCCATATTACTTTGTTGTTATGTTTTGTATTTTGATACTTTGTTGCTGTCTAGGATAACTATTTGTATGCCATAACACTATGTTGTTATTTTGGATGTCCCTTTATGTTAATGGTCAATGGTTATCTTGGATATTTTAGTTTTTGTCCTTTTTAATTGTTATATTGGATGCTACATGTATTGAATGGTATATTGCATATGTTGCAAATACCACATTTTCATTAAATTTGAACACCAACTGATAACACCACATTATGATTACACAATATATTGTAACTAAAATTGAAATTTTTTTGTTAATACAAATAACATTACAAAATACACATACCAAAATACTAACAACTTCATTACTAAACCTACACTTTATATATAAGGACTGAAACAAAAAAAAACCCAGCTAATAACTAGGTAAAGCTTCAATTTGCGATTTTGTTCTTCAAGTTTCATCCTAAACGCCATACAATCACAGTCCTGATCATAATCATTCACCATCCTATGAACTTGCATAATGGTCCCTGAACCAATTAAAGTAGATGAAGAATTAGGGCAAAATTAGAGAAGACGAAGAACGAAATTGAAATCATTAACCTTACCTTTACTGTACAAGCATAATAGAGTTTCCCAGGGTTTCTTTTGCTATAAGATGTGCGAATCACTGCAGTGGCTCCACAATTGCATTTAATATCGATCATTGTTATGTATTTGGAAGAAATCGATCGAACGAGGGGAAGAGACGAACGAGAGGATAGCAGAGGAAAAGAGGGTTGCAGTGTTCTTTATAAGATTTAAGGTGTAACGGCATTAAATATGGACACAAACCCTAAAAAGACGAAAATGCCCCTGTGTGCAAGGCACGTGGGTAGCTTAAACGGAAGGATTTAACAGTTAACGTGCATAGGGACTAACCATGCAAAATAAATAACAACGAGGGACTGCACGAGTTAAATTTTGGAAATAGGGACTACACATGCTTTCTGGCATGTGCACGAGGGACCAACGGTGTAATTTACCCTATTGTTTATAAGAATAGTGCTTTGTTCTAGTTTGGACTTTGGATGAAAAGAACTTCTTGTGTTAGTTTTTCATGTTCGTGGGCCAGAAAGGATTATGGGCATCTATTGGAGTGACAATATTTATGGGCTTGTATAGAAATTAGGATTGATAGTATAGTGTTGGCGAGAGCCAAGATTAGAAGGAGTAAAAATGCAAAGTTGTGAAAGTTAAGGTGTTGGGCTCGCTTTTGTTATTCATTAATAACGCGAGCCATTTAAGATATTGGTGTTATCGGGTAAATTTTTTAGGTTTTGGGTAACTCGGGTTGGATAATTCGGGTTTTTTTATGTTAAAAGAATATCGTTACCCGATCCGAATTAGATTCGGGTAATTTGGATAGTAGGTTGGGTTTGAGTAATTTGGATATTATCCAAAAATAAATGTAATGAAGTAAATATGTTGTGCTCTATTAGTCTTATTTATATAAACAAACGAGACATACACGAAGTTACTTAAACTTTGAACATTGAGACACTATCTAACAACATACAAAATAATAGGAATACATACGTATTTATATAGTGGGAAATCAGAAAAATATGACATTATCTGACTACATACAAATTAATAGAAATACATGGTTGATGAGTTCAAAGTGAAGTCCTAGAATAGAGGATTACGACACTATATAACTACATACAAAATAATAGGAATACATGGTTGATGAGTTCAAAGTGAAGTCCTAGAATAGAGGATTTATTTGACACGTTGTTATCCCCCAACAAGCTCAAGGATGGATCGAACTTGAAGCTTGGAACGAAGAAGAGAGATACGATCCTTTTGTAGCGGTTTAGTGATAATATCAACTAGCTGATCCATAGAAAATATATAGCAGGTTTTTAGAGCCCCAAATTCAACCTGTTTTTGAATGAAGTGAAAATCTAAAGCACTGTGTTTGGATCTAGTGTTAATAACCGGGTTCTTGCTCAAGAAGATGACATTGGCATTATCACACAACAACAAAGGGGGCAGATGAATAGGATTATGAAGATCGGTAATGAGTTGTTTCAACCACAGAGGTTCTGCTTTTGTAAAGGCAAGATACCTATATTCAACCTCGGTACTGGAACGTGCAACAACACATTGCTTTCTTAAAATCCAACTAATGAGGTTAGAGCCATGAAAGATAGCATAACCATATTAAGATCGACAATCAGCCCTATCAGAGATCCACCCAACATCCGACTATGTTAGAAGACAGTTGACAGCAGTTGGTGTGAAGTGAAGGTAGTGATGAGAAGTGCCTTTTAAATACCTTAGAATTCATTTTGTAGCTTGCTAATAGAGATCGAATGGTGAGAGCATAAATTGACACACCCAGTTGACAACATATGTGATGTCGGGATGGGTAATTGTTGCATATTGAAGTGAACCAAGCACATATCTAAACAACTTAGGATCATGAAAAAGAGTACCATAAGGCTGAAGAGAAGACTAAGGATCAGCATGTGTGGTAACGGAGAATGTGTAACGCTCGGTTCCTGGTATGTATTTAATTCAAAATTTACTCATTTTTGTATAGAAACGCGACAAGTTGAAGGCCACAAACTCGTCGAGTAGAGATGGATTTGGACGCAGGTTGTGAAGTCTACTCGACGAGTCGAGGACCCTCAACTCGACTAGTAAGATTGGTAGAATGAAACCCTAATTTTCAGGGTTTTGCACCCTATTTAAACACTTTAACCCCCATAAGTTGGCCTCATTTATAGCCTCCATTGTCCTAAGCCCTAGCCACGAAATCCTAATCCACTTTTGAGAGTTTTGAGACATTTTTGTCCATTCTTTATGATTTTGAAGAAGATGATACTTGAAGAAGGAGCAAGGACATGTAAGAGAAGAGTTGATCCAGAAGTTGAGTTTCATTTCTGGTTCATCTAAGGTATAAATCTTCTACCTTGGTTGTAGTATGTTTATATCTAGTTTTAGGAGGTTTTCTCCATATTTTGGTCCAAGAATGTTGGTCTTTGGGACTTGGACGTCCCATGGGGGTAAACCTTTCAGATCTAGGGTTTATAGGGACTTCATGGCATAATGGTGCCAACTTTATGGACATGGAAGTCCCATGTAACTTGTGGACCATCTTTTTGGCCTTTTGAGCCAAGCAGTCTATGCATGCAAGTAAAGATAGGAACTTTACATGACTAAACTGTTCCTAGAGTCTAAATCTATGATCCAATGGCTTATCTTGAAGTTTTGATGGTTTTTGAAGTTGGAACTAAGCCATTTTGAGCTAGGGTTAAGGCTTATTTCTTCTAGGATGGGTCTTAATGGGTAAAGTCAGAAAGTGTATCCTCCTAGATGTGTTTTCGACTCAGATCTGGAATATGGGACTTAAACTCGAAGAATAATGGCTTAACACATTGAGCAAGTTTATCAGACTGAAGAAATCAATGAGTTCATAGAGGAACTCGACGAGTTGAGTCGAAATTCCCTGATTCTGTAGAAGGAAGGGCTTTACGATTTCAAGGACAGACTCGACGAGTTGGGTAGGAAAGTCCCGATTCTGTTGATAGGAGGAAATCGATGATTTGGATCGCGATTTCAAGGTTTTATGATGTATGGAACTTGACGAGTTGATGGACCAACTCGGTGAGTTGAGTCAACCCAAGATGTTGACTTTGACCAGGATGTTGACCTTAACTTTGACTTTGACCAAAGTTGGACCTTAAGGGGTATTGAGTAGGAAAGGGTAATTAAGGGAATCTTTTATGTATAAGAGTTTGAGTTGGGTGGGTTATCATAGCCGAGGATTTCCAGCTAATTTACAACATTTGAGGTGAGTTACCTTCCAGTAGAAGTGGGTCGGAGGCACCAATGTCGTCCCACTAGTAGTTGATTATATTTAAGATGATTGTCTTTATGATAATTGTTTGGTATGTCACTATTTGTTATGCTTTATGTTCTAGTATGATATGATATTATGTGATAGTGGTAGGAGGGATAAGATAGACCCCATTATCGGTCGTACGGACTGAAGGGGTAGGCCAACACCCAGATATGTTAAGCAGCATGTGACTTATATGTTTATGTACTAGGATGATATGTGGTAGGGGTAGGGGTGAAATAGTCCCCGTTATCGCTTGAAAGAGACCGAATGGGTATGAAAGCACCCAAATATACTAGGCAGTTACAAGTTGGAAGAGACCGAAGGGGTAGGCCAACACCCATATATGCCAGATAGTTACCGGTTGAAAGAGACCGAAGGGGTAGACCAGCACCCTAATATGCTAGGTTGTTACCGGTTGAAAGAGACCGAAAGGGTAGGCCAACACCCTGATATGCTAGGCAGTTACCGATTGAAAGAGACCGAAGGGGGTAAGCAGCACCCGAATATGCTAGGTAGTATGTTATTGTACGGTATGCAGTACGATATGGGAAATCACTAAGCTTTCTGCTTATGATTTTCAGTTTTGGTTTCAGGTACTTCCTCTTCGAAGGGAAAGGAGCCGACATGATCGCAACGCATCACACCATATTTTCCGCACAGGAGATCTTTGGGATTTATACTCTGATATTGTTTTATCATGACATGTTTTGACTATTGATACTTTGGTTTTGATATGAGTTGATATTATGGCTGTTTTCAGACAAATGGCTTTATAATTGTTATATTAAAAATGAAATTTTTGGTCTTAAATTTTGGGATGTTATAAGTTAGTATCAGAGCCTTGGTTTGAGGGATTCAGACACACCTTCGGGAGTGTCTGGACTCAAATTAATGGTTTTAGAAAAAGTTTCAATAAAAATAATTTTTCTAAGATTTAAGATTAAGAGTTTTGAGAAAGAACAAGGAGTGTGATGCATGCAATCAGCCGAGCTCAAGTAAGTTTTTCCCAAAATACCCATACATGGTTGTTATGATATATGATATGATTATGAGAACTGTATGCTAGATTAGGGCTAAGGATCTAGGAAGGATGCCTTATATGCCTACTATATGAATATGAGAACTGTATGCTAGATTAGGGATAAGGATCTAGGAAGATGCCTTATGTGCCTGTTGTACGTTTGGTCTCTGGT